CTTAATGATTATTATTACTGTCCATTCTATTTTTTACTGCTCTTAAGTTTTTGCTTCAAGCTCTGATTCTATTCTTTGAATTCCTTACCCTGGTGTCGATTTATTTTAAATTACAGATCTTAAACGTGACACTAGCTGCTTTTTGTTTCTTGAGAACTTTTTTTGTTTTTTCCCTTCAGGATAATTATATTCTATTGTGCCTTTTGTTATCATGTCTTTTAGGATCTCCTAAACTCCTAAATTCTCTTAGGCTTTATTTAATAGTAAGCTCCCTTCTCCACTCTGCACACTATACCATGCTCATTAGGTTTCTTAATCCGTCATCATTTGCTTTCATGAAATCTTATACCTCTGAATGAGCCCATTTCCTTAGTCGAGCTATTGCAAACAGCCCTGAATCAACAAGCACTAAGCATTAGCTTATTTACTTTCTCAAGCAACATTACTCTCTAGGAAAAACAAAACAAAACAATAACTTTGTATCGAATGTCTATAGACCATGAAACTATACCATCTAACTTGTTATTTCATTTTCTCACCCAAAGTTTGTCTGCAAAGGTTAGGACCATAGAATTAAATTATGGACAGTCCTTAATGTGTACTTATTAACTTACAGGATTCATATTCTTCTTGTTGAGAAAGTTATTCTATTTTCATAGAACTGAAATAACAATATGTTATGTTGTTGTTGTTAAGTCTCATCTATTTGATCCCAACTCATAGTAACCCTGTATAGTGTTTCCAAGGATCAGCTGGTAGCTTTGAACTATTGACCTCATGGTTCACAGTTCAGTGCTGATCCTACACTGGATGTAGCACCAAAACAGAAGTATGTTGCTGTTGTTGTTGTTGTGTGCCGTGGAGTCGGTTGCAACTCATAGTGACCCTGTACAGGGTTTCCGAGACTGTAAATCTTTTTATAGGAGCAGAAAGCCTCATCTTTCTCCAGCAGAACAACTGGTAGTTTCGAACTGCTGACCTTGAGGTTAACAGCCAGATTCGTAACCACTACGCTACCAGAGCTTAACGTACTCCTTAAGAGTACGTTGTTGTTGTTGTTGTTATGTGCCGTGGAGTCGGAACCGACTCATAGCGACCCTGTACAGGGTTTCCGAGGGTGTAAATCTTTACGGGAGTAGAAAGCCTCATCTTTCTCCCGCGGAGCAGCTGGTAGTTTCGAACTGCTGACCTTGCGGTTCACAGCCCGAGTCGTAACCACTACGCTACCAGAGCTCCATTAGTGACTATTAAATTCAAGAGAAAAGAAAAAATTTTTTTTTTTTTTTTTTTTTATTCTGCAAGAGTTCTATGTGTCCAAATGGTTTGTTTTTGAAAGACATGTACATATTTGACCAACATGGGTTCTTCTGAAAGTTCATCCTTTGCTTTTTCTTTTACTAGTACCTTCTCAGAAGTCTTAGTAACATAGTGGATTGTGTGTTGGACTGCTGGCTGAAAGGTCAATAGTTCGAATCTACTCGTTCTTCCATCTTCCATGGGAGAAAGATGAAGCTTTCTGCTCCTGTAAAGATTTATAGCCTCGGAAACCCTGTACAGGGTCACTATGACTCAGAACCAACTCAGTGGCATACCACCACCAGTGACTACTCATCACTAGTACTTTTGCTACTATGTATGTACAAAACAGAGTCCTGGTGTGACACTGTAGGGTAAGTATTGGATTTCTAGCCTCAAGGTCAATGGTTCAAACCCACCACAGCTGCTCCTCAGAAACCCTATATGGGGGAGTCACTATGAGTCAGAACCCACTCAATGGCACTTAATAACAACTTAACATGCATAGGATACCCACGAGAGCACATTTTGGCTTAAAAAAAAAACAACACAAAAACTTATAAGGAACTTGATTTTTTTTTTTTTTAAATCTCAAGTGGACTGAAAGAGTTAATGAAGCTTCCAAAGGTGCCTAGTTTATTCAAATAAAGTTTACACTTCAGATCTATGCATTATAACTTGTGATCATCCCATCCAGATGATAGAAAGAAAAGTCAGTAAGTTCTTTATTTAATTGGTTTGCATCCACACATTGACCTCCAGGGCTAACTGTTTACATAGCCTAGCCTGCAATATGCTCCACAGTTCTCTGACTCTTTCTAAAGCAAGTTTCTCCTGAGATTTGATATATGACTTTCATGTTTAATCACTACATTAAACTCAATGCTCAACTTCCTCCAGCAGCAACTAACTTCCCTTCTTGGGAGGTGGGAGAAGAGCCCAGCTTCTCGATACTTCTGAACATAAAAGGAAGCCTGTTTTACTCTATTAGTAAAATTACCACACAATTCTAAGCAAGCAACATTAGTACATCAACTAGGGAACAATATTAAAGTGGAATCCTAATTCTCTTAGAAAGAACCTAGTCTCTGTTCTAAATTGGGAAAGCCAAAAAGTTTAGGTGATTGAGTTTATAAACCAATGAAAAAGATTTTTAATTAGTATATAATTCAATATATCAAAAAACAAAGCTAGATGGAAGCTAAAGTTTTAACCAAATGAATCCTAAGGATAGAACATTCCAGAGGTTCTTAGATCAGAATTAATTCTATACTTCTACCTTGTGGTTGAAAGCTTGTTTTTTTCTTAACCATACAATTCACTAAAAATTAAACTTCCAGTCTCTATGACTGGTGATGGTATAATCCTTTCCATAAAAATATGTCTATGACCCACATTCCTAAAGTAGATGAAAATTTCAAACTATTGACTTCTTTCAATGAGCCCAGATTTTAAATGAAATGCTTATCTTTTACTTTAAAATACTTGAAGCACAACAAAAGTGAAACAAATATGGCAAACTAACAACAGTAAAACCTAGATACTGGGTGTCATTATACTTACGCCCTCTATTTTTGGTATATTTGAAATTTTTCATTATATAAAATGTAAACTTCTATAATTTAAAAAAAAAACACACATAAGGAGATTTTGTTCATGAATTTGTTTCTGTAGTGAAAACTGATATAATTCTGATAAGAAAAATTTTTAATTACTTTCTAGGTTGATCATTTTGACATATGTTCAGCAATTCAAATTGTTTACCACAGGTTAACAATACTAATTTTCTCCTAGATCTGACTCAGTGGTGTGAAACCACAACATACATCGTGGAATGTTGTGCAGTAAACTCCACGTTAAGTTGGGTACTTTTCTTGAAAATGAATACACACACACATAAAATGTGACTTTGAAATCGTCTCCTTTATGATTAGTCATCAACTATAATATTCATTTTTTAAGGTTTTCTCTTTCCTAGTAAAATTGGCATTTTTCTTCATTTTAAAATCAGGAACCCAGTTAGAAACTCTGTTGCAGCCATAAACATTAAACAAAGCTAGTTTACTCATTGTTTTTGAGGAACAATGGGAATCGGAACCTATTAAAGTCATACATTTAATTGTTCCAAGATGTTACCTGTATCGTCACATACAGAACACCAAAAAATAAGTTTCTAGCTTTCTTTGTCATGATTCCTTCATTTAATGGCAAGCTAAAAACTCCCTCCCCCCAAAAAATTAATAATAATAATTACCTGTTTCTTAATCTAAAACCATCTGAATTCTTTCCACAACATATTTAAATTCAAAATTAAAAGATGAAATAAACTTTTAATCAGTATTCCCCAAAAGACTTTTCAGAGTACAGAACTTTGTAGTTTGCAAAGACATGCAGATGTTGTCCCTGATAGACATTTTAAAAAATTAGAACAAGACAAAATAAGAGTCATTGACAAACTCTTTGGCCATGAGAGTGAACGATGTGTGCCTGTCCAGATGTTATAACAATTTTCATGATAAATATCAGCCTTCAGTACAGGACTGTAGCAGCATACTTTAATTTGGATTTTAAAATTTAACATAAATTATCTGACTTTGACAATAGCTGCCTAATATTTCAGTTTTGTTCCAGGTTCTCCTATGAAAATGAACCTAGTAGACATTTTTTCTTTCTTTTTAAAGCTATATTCCAGATCCTGTACCCAAAGACAAGTTTCTGACTTGATGGCTATGAACTGAAATATACATTAGATAATAAAGTTAATCCTTAATATATAGGCAATGATAAAAAGACACGTAATTTTTATGTAAAAATTCATTATCCACCAGTTTTAAGTGGTAGATAGTATTCACTTATTTTTAAATTATATGTAAACATTTAACTATTAAAATAAGTATGCTACTTATATATCTTAAAAGCTTTTTTTTACAATTATTTTCTCATGGAGTTAAAAAATTAATGCTTATTTAGCAATGAACATTTCAGCTAAGAACATAATTCCTTTATACCTAACATAAGATAGTTTTTAAAAACTGAAAACACCATCAGAAATTTTGAATCACATAAGTTTCAGCAAATGACATAAAGACACAGTCAAACCTAAGGATTATATGGCTACATTCATGCTTAATGAGAAGAAAACATCTAATGAGGCTGATATGTCACTGCTTGTGAGAATGTAAATTTTGCCTTGATAGATACAAAATATGGGCTTAAGGTGACCTGAATTTTCCATCCCACTCCAACAACAAAAAAATTTTTTGAACTAATAAATAACAAGACAACTTTCTATTCGTACTGGCTAAATCATAATTTTCTGGATAAATTGTGTCCACCACCCACATGTGATGACAAGCAACTTGCAAAGAGTATTCAAATTATTCAGGATGCTTTGTCCATTAAGAAAATAATATCTTATTCTGAGCAACGAATATATATAACCCCCACATCTGCTTTTAAAATGAAAGTCTGCAGATACAGATACAGGCATTTAATTCCTCTTACAGAACCATCTAGAATCCCAAAGTGAGCATCACTAGTTATGATCTGAAGCAACAAATAGTCCTACTTTGAGGTAGGGCTTATGTTTTGAAGAGACTGCCCAGTCTGTTAAAAATCAGAATGGTTCTTTATCTGATGAATTACTCCTGAGAGAATAACGCAAATAAAATATACTCAGAATAACATTATTAATGTAAACATACCTGAGCCAGAATCAAATTTGGTTTCAGACCTGTAAAGGGAAAGAAATTTTTGACACTATAAAAACTGTTTGTAAAATAGCAAGTTATTTGATGCAGGAAAACACAGAAAGATGCAACAGTTACATATTTTGGTATGTGGATCAACAAGTAAAATATGTTTTAAAAATTTAAGTACATAATTTATTTTATACATTTTAAATGAATGCATTACCATAGGTCCAATAAATACATGCATTTCATACAGACAGCATGATATGGAAAATACATAAACTTTTTCAGTTTGTTTTTGAGAAAAAAGATAAATCATATTTAAAAAAATCACCTGGTACCTTCAGATTACGTAATGAAAAAAAATTAAATTATCGTCTTTACTTATTATTAAAGATTTTCAATTTATCAACACCAAGTAAAATTTTCACTAATCTCTTAGCATGGAGCAAATGAACCTAGTAACCCCATACATTTAATAAGGAGGAAAAAATCTGAGGCTTTGTGGGAACATTATGTTTCAGATATAGGTTAATACTGGTTGTAAATTCAGAAGCCTTTGAAGCTCTTGGTTCGGCTGTGGGAAAACTTCTGTCGGGTAATTACTCTCAAGATGCCGCTGATGTGCTGTCAAGCAGAATTAACCCTATGACTAGGCCTATCTACACAAGCTACTATAAGACAGCATTGTCTATATCTAACTCTCAAACCAATTAGTGGGCATACTCCAGTCGGATTTATATCACACATTAACAATCAATAGTATATATGTTCACAGCTGCCACAGCAAGATACAAGAACCAACCAGCAGGAGTCCTGTTAAAGGATGTTACATTGACAGAGAAGTTTTTTTCTTTTTTTTTTTTTTCCCTTGGGGAAATGTAGTTAACTAAGAGGATTTTTTTTTTTTTTTTTTGAAATTATGCCAGGGTACCAAAGCACCTTTGGAAGTAGTGGCTTTCTTTACCTAAATAAGCTTCAAGAGAAATCATCAAAGGGAAATAGTTGTGGTTTTTTTTTTTTTAAGAAAAAAAAAAGGGTAAAAAGAAGCTGCCTTGGTCATAAAAATTTACTTTCTCAAGTATTCCAAAATAAAAAGTTTCATCTGATTTTTAAACAAAGTTAACAACTGTGTAAATAAATCATTACAACCATGGTTATCAATAACCAACATTGTAATTCAGATCTATATTTTCCCCAAGCGCTGGCTCTACCACAGGGTTTCATTCTCAGGTCTTCTCTTAGATGTCCCTGCCTCCTATTCCAGGTACAAACCCATTTTCACCTTCTCCTCTCTCCTATTCTGTAAGCCTCCTATGTTTCCACAACCCTGGAGCATAGCTCTAAACCACACTTAACTACACGTTACCCCGCTGGTTTCATTGTCTAGCTTTCCAACAAAGCTGTAACTATGCCTTATTAATCTCAGAAGCTACAGCACCTAAATAATGTCTGGTAGTTCTGTTCAACAAGTGTCTATTGAGGGAAGTTTCTGCATGGGTCCCCATGGGTTCCTCCTCCTTTCAGCATACAAGTGTTCGTGAATTAAAGTCCTTTAAATCCATGCCCTATTTTTATTATCCCCTTCATTTCTACTTTACAATCAAGTTCACTGAAAGGATCCTTACAGTTAGCTACCATGGAGCTGACCCCTCAAAGGTAAGTATCTTGCTATATTCCTTACCTCTGTACAATAGCATTACATTCAACCATTTAAGACAGAAATCGTGGCCTTATTCTAGATTTCTTCTGTTCTTTCAATATCTAATTGTTGTTGTTATTAAGTGCCGTCGAGGCAGTTCTGACCCACAGTGACCCTGTACAGGGTTTCCGAGGCTGTAAATCTTTACGGGCGCAAAAGCCTCATCTTTCCCCCACGGAACAGCTGGTAGTTTTGAACTGCTGACCTTGCGGTTCGCAGCCCAATTCATAACCACTATGCTACCAAAATATGTGAGCAAATATGATGTGTGTTAACTGCTGGATAATTCCTTTAAAGAGAATTACACCCTGCTCCTTTTATCTTCTCATTACCTGGATTGTGGATGTGATCCAAGGAGCTGAAGTAGCCATCGTTTGATTATAGGAGAGAAACTGATATTAAGGAAGAAGCTCTGGGAGCAAATTGGACTGTTGCAAATCAGACTGCTAAACTCAGGGTCAGCAGTTTGAAACTACCAGCTGTTTCACAGGAGAACGATGAGGCTTTCTGCTCCAGTAAAGATTTACAGCCTCGGAAACCCTGTACAGGGTCGTTATGAGTTGAAACCAACTCCACAGCACCTAACCTAACCAGAACAATAAGGACAACAGAAGGAGTCTGTGGAGCTGCCATTATCAATTCCAAACTATCTTGTTTAAGTCACTATTATCCTGAAGTCCTGTCACAGCAATTAAGCCTGCATCTTATCTATGAGAGCAATACTGCCACATTTAAAAAAAGAAAAGGAAATAATGTACAAAACTGAATGATTAAGCAGTTCATAGAATATTCAATAGAGAAATACTAGTCTTTTATTTATGTGTGTGTGTGTGTGTGTGTGTGTGTGAATTGGTTGAAGGTCTATCCAATAATGATCATATTATCAGTTGTATATTCAGCAATTCTACATATTGTGTTTCATCTCATTGATTTCAGTCCCCTCAGTGTAACACCCTATGTGGCTCCATAAAGCAAATATTAAATCAATCTTGATGCCTCATTCTTCATACAGTCCAGCTTCTTGAATTATTTGCCCAGCACATACAAATTCACTAAGTATACTGAAAGGATGCATACCTGACCCACACTTTTCCTGATTTAAAACCCCTTGTTCTGATCCAATGACTGCTTCTTGATCTAGATTCCACAAGAACACAATGAAATATTGTAGAATTCCCATTCTTCACCAGTCTGTCCATAATTTGTTGTAAATCACAGTCGAATGCCTTTGCATAGCCAATAAGACACAGATACTGTCTGCTCTGAGCAAAGATCCATCTGACATCAGCAATGATATCCCTTGTTTCATGTCCTCTTATGAAACCAATTTGATTTTCTGGTGGTTCCCACCTGTGATTTTGAATTATCTTTAGCAAAACTTTACTTGTGTATGGTATCAATGATGTTGTTCAATAAGTTTTGCATTCTTTGGAATGGGCTTTAATCACCTTTCTTTGGGATTGGCATAAATATGGATATCATCTAGTTGTTTGGCCAGGTAGCAGTCTTCCAAATTTCTTGGCATAGATGAGTAAGTACTTCCAGTGTTGCATCCATTTGTTGAAATATCTTAATTAGTATTCCATCTATTCCTGGAGCCCTGTTTTTCACTAATGCCTTTAGAACAGGTTGGACTTCTTTCTTCAAAACTATCAGTTCTTGATCTTATGCTACATCCTGAAATGGTTGAATATCAATTCAATATTTTGTCCATGCTGTTGTTAAGTGCTGCTGAGTTGTTTCTGACTCTTAGTCACCCCGTACAGGGTTTCCAAGGAGTGGATGGTGAGTTTGAATTGCCAAACATGTAGTTCAAACCGACGTTTGGGTCCAGTGCTTATCCTACAGCACCACACCAGGACTCTATTTTTCTGCCCACAGACTCCTTCAATACTGCAACTCAAGGATTAAATTTTTCTTCAGTTATTTCTGCTTGAGGAATGCCAAGTATGTCCTTCTCTTTTGGTTTTCTAACTCTATGTCTTTGCACGCTTCATTATAACACTTTTATTTGCTTTCTAGAGCTATCATTTGAACTCTTCTGTTCAGCTCTTTCACATCATCATTTTTTTCCATTCTTTTTAGCTACTTTATGTTCAAGAGCAAGTTCTACAGTCTCTTCCAATATTCATTTTGTTTTTTTTCTTTCTTTCCTTTCTTTTTAATGGCCTTTTGCTTTGTTCGTGTATGATGTCCCTGATGTCTTCGTGTATGATGTCCCTGATGTCATCCCAAAGATCATCTGGTCTTTCGTCATTAGTGTTCAATGCACTGTCTCTTCTCACTTTGTAAGAATGTTTCTAATGATTTTTCCTAGTACTTCAAGTTTAGTGTTGCGTACACACTTGTTATGGGCTCTTTGTAGAGTAGACACACTTGAGATATGATAAACATGTACAGCCCTACATGAATTTCACACATAGTACTACTAGTGTTTCCTTATTTTCGCTGGAAATTTTCATTCCTACCCAAGGTTGTAATCAGAAATAGAACAACATATGTGATAGCTAACAGGTTGGTACTAGACATAATTATTAGTAGTTTCCAAAAGTTTAATTACCTAAAAATTGACAAAAGAAATTCAAACAAGAACAAACCCACATCAAGTACGGCAGAGGCAAAGATTCTTTTCATCTTTATACACCGTGATTACGACTGAAGATATCAGTAGAAAATGACAAAGGTGGATCATCCTCTGTACTAGACAGAATTCTGTAGGGATTCTTTAGAGAGGTAAAAGAAGTCCTATGTAGCTCATTAAAATCTAATTGCAAACCTGCTTTACAATACAGTTTAATAACTAATATTCTTAATGACAGTTGCAAGTCATGAAATTAGTAATTAAATTATATGGCTTAGTAAGAAAGGTATTATTTGGACAGGATTAAATTAAAAAATCAGTAGTCAAAAAATTCAGAGTTTTAAAATAGATGTCTAGGTTATCCAGAGAACATGTTTAACCAAAGCATGTCACTGTACACAGACAGAATCAACACAAAACCAAGAAGAGAAAAATGTGTAGTGGGTTAAGTTTTGGGCTGCTAAATGTAAGCTTAGCAGTTCAAACCCACCAGTCACTCTACCGGAGAAAGATGAAGCTTTCTGATCCCATAAAGACTTACAGCTTTGGAAATCCTGGAGAGCAGTCCTAGTACATACTGTAGAGTCACTATGAGTCCAAATCAACTTGACAGCTGTGGGTTAAGAGCAAAGCAACCATGGAGAGAAGATCTGGTTTCCAGTCTCAGGTCTACTTCCTGATTCTACCAAGCAACCAAGCAACCAACCAACCAACCAAGCAACCAACCAACCAACCAACCAACCAAGCAACCAACCAAA